AACCCACTTAGTGAAATATTATCTTCTAGTTTTGAAAATATCAGAAATAAAGTTGATAATTTGTTAATATATAAAATAAACCATTTGTATTTGAACTGCTATTTCATGACTTTTTATTCCAGACAGCTTCTTTCTTTCTCTGGCCTTTAGTTTTCCATCGTGTTACTCCTTCTTTAGGATGGTTTGCTACCTTTTGTATGACAGCGACTGTTTCATTCATAGGTAAGATATGTCAGAATTAGCTACTCTTATTCCAGGAAAGAAAAAGGGATGTACTAATTTACTGTATTTTAATATCTTGGTTTATTTTATTTTTCATGATTTGTTTCACAAGTACATTTTCTCTATATATGAAATCAAATTATATGTCCGTGACAATAAAACGGATCAAATCTTTACTGATAAATAAGCGTAACTTAACTCATGGTTTAATATTTACTTCTCAAAATATCGTACATACCTCAATTGGAAAAGAGAAAAACCTTTATGTTATTTGTATCCCAGCTGGATTAATGAGCTCTGGTATTGAGTCAAACACGTCGTAGGTATTGGATATGTTGAACATAAGGTGTTGAACTAGTATTATACACTCTTCTTTTTGGATCCTAAGGGTACAAAGAAAAACAAAAGCAGTAATCAAATTACACTAAGCCTAATACTGCTGTCTTGTGACGAATGTAATTACCAACTTTAGTTTCAGTTACGTAAGGGATTCCCAACGAGTGTTAGTATATATATATTGACTATGGGATTGATTCAGTTTGATACAAGTTATTTATATAATATAAATTATAATATAGTACTTTATGTATTAATGAGCATATATGTTGTTATTGTGTAAAGGTAAATAATTATATTCTCAATTATCTGTTTCTGTCCTTCCATAGGGTTACTTGTGACTATACTTTTCCCCGAAACCCATCGTACACAACCATTAACATCAAGTAGTTTTGATAAAGAAAAAGAACGGACTCGTTACGGAGCTGTTGAATATCTGAAGTGAATTTCTTAGCATTTGTTACTTCTCGGATTTTTTCACACTTCCTGTCTAATATTTACGTAATAGATAATCATAATGTTTCTTCCTCTCTCACTGCTCTATTAAATATTTATGTAAACGTATTAAAGGATAATAAGACAGTGTTCATTACATATCTCGTTAAAAGCAAATTAATATGGTACAATGTTATCTGATAATGTTTGACTGGACAATTCAAACATGTTCTAACGTTTTTATGTAATATGTTAGTGTAGATATATTTGTTTTGTTAAGACTGAACTTGGGGTTTCTTCATTTTAATGAAATCTTAAGAAAATAAAGAATTTTCTCTAGATACTCGCTGTTTCTCTTTAATAAACATCTCCATACATTATAATTTCATATCTTATACACAGATGTATACCTCTTTATCTATGATGTACTTACTTCATTTCTCTAGATTGTTTCTGTGGGTGTATTATTATTATTCACAATGTGCATGATTAAGTAAATGTCACCTTTCTGCACCGGTCTCGGTTGACGTAAAAATGTTTTAACATCTGGTACAAACATTGCTATAGAAGAATAGAAAGTAACCTTTCGAAAGTGTATAACTTACTCTACTAATGACATGTTTTGTAAAGAAAAATCGTAGAAAATCCTGGTTTGTCAAGTTTTTGGTAAGAAATATATAGAACAAACATCATCTTCCTTGGATATAAGACGCAAAGAACAACAAGGTCACATACGTAGAGGTGAGTTTTGGATATGTGCTTTAACATGCTTATTAATTTTTTTCCGGTCTCAAAATACTTAGAGACGAAATTTTTCTCCTACCTTAACCTCCCACCCCCCCAAAAAAGGACAAGACTGTTTAGAAATAAACAAAGCCATAAAAGCAGCCGATCTTTCAATAAATC